AAGCGCTCGATCTCTGCACGAAGTGTCGCGAGCACTCGTGGGTTGGTGATGAGGTGAAGCAGCGTAGCTCGGATGGCCGTGGCCGTCGTGTCCGATCCAGCGAGTCTGTCGGAAGGGTTAGTAGTGGCCTCAGAGTATAGGACCGAAGAGATCTCGGCAAGTCGTACATTTGCATGAGGATTTCCGAAGACGCCTCTTTTTGCGTCAGGCCGTGTGCTACGAAAGAGCCAAGCATGTCTTGCCTCGTCTTCTTGCTTGGCCCGAAGCGCTCGCCGGCGATTTCCTTCGCCATCCTGTCGCTGTGTCAGCTGTGCCGGACTTGCGAGAACGCAACAAAGACCGCACAAGTCGACGATTCAGCGGCCAAGCGCAGACCAGGTCCGAGATGGGACGCGAACAAGACGTACCGAATCAGCCTTCCGAACCCGGTGGCATCATTTTCCGAAGGCATCAGCCGCCGAAGCAGAGGCCACGATAACACATGGAGTAGAGAGGGCAGAACGGCCGCGACGACGATGTTCGGCATGCTTTGTTCCGTCGTGTGAATGTAGTCATAAACGTCCGAATCGGAAGCCAGATCGCCGAACGGCTTGCCGAATGCAAGATCTGAAATGACGTCGAGCGTGAAGTACTGCGCCTTCAGGCCGAAGTCGAACCTTTTATCTTGAGAAGCATACGTATCGATCATTGACATGAGTCGAAGGACGCTTTCGTCGATCTTGGCTTCAAGTTCGACTACTTCTTTGCCAGAATACTTTGTCGCGATCGTCAGCAGTCCATACAAATCGACCTGTGGCACACGAGAGAAGATGACCTACCCCTCCGGCCATCTGAGACCGGAGTCTGGTGTGCACTGCATCGTCTCTGGTAGCAGCACGTTGTCGTGTCTCGGATCCAGTCGCATCGCGTTGTACCAGTCTGAACGCGTGTACTTGGTGCGCACGCCGAGCATACGCTTCATGAGGTCCGGGTCGCTCGTCACAAGGTCGTTTGGACCGATGCGAACAAGAGATCCTGTGAGAGGAGTTAGCGAGCGTTGTGAACGACATTGGAAACAGTCGTAAGCACCGTATTTTTGGCCGGCCTCGTAGAACTTCAGGTGCATGCTACCGCTATACACGGCACGTAGAAGCCACCAAGGGGAGAATCCAGCAGAGGGAGGGCGGGGGATGTGGCCGTAGTCGGAGATACTGGTGAAGGAGGAGCGTGGCAGCATACAAGAGCGGACCCCACATAAAGATGGTCGTGAAGGGGTACCATTCCACATGGCGGAGTTCAGCTGCTTGCGCTGGCTGCGTGAGCCCTTGGTGGGTAGCGGATAGTCGACGGGAAGGCTTTGGCTGACGGATGGCAAGAGCAAGGACGGTAGCTCAGTGGTTGTTACTCCGTCTCTGATACCGGGAAGTCTACGGATAGGGCGGTCTGGGGAGGAGACCTTAAATGATCTTTGACAAAGGCTGTATGCTGTAGACTTCGTGGAGCCCATGAACGTCTTGTAGACTGGATGGAGGTCTTGGTGTCGTTGCACATGCGATCACGGGCAGTTCTGGGTGTCGTTGCCCAAATCGACCCCCTTCGTGGTGTAACTGATGTGGGTTCCACGAAGTACAACGCAACACTGCAAAATGTGGCTCTTTGCGCCACGGGGATGGTTTGGACTCTTTCGAATCCGTATACGGCCTAAACATCGAGCAGCGAAGTCAATGGCCTAGGACGCTGAACTCGGCAGCCATGTACCGGCCCCATGTCACCACTTCTGGATCTTGCGCAAAGCGGTACAAGTATGAAAAGACATCGCGCCGATGCCTGTCTGCCATCAGGCCGACGTAGGAACTCTCGTGTTCGTCTCGCCGTAACAATGGGCTGTAATCCATCGAGACCTCTCAATAGCTTACAAACAGACGTAGACCAGACCCTGCCCACGCACTATCCACTGACCGTAACTCGTCCGCCTCGATACTCATACAATGAGCATAACGAAGCGTGTCGCCTGCTCCGGCCTTGGACTGTGCGAGGCGCAAAGTCCCGCAGCTTCCTGTTCGTTGTTCATGTCATCAATAACAGCTTGCTAGATAGGTCGCAAACGCTTGCCCAGATCAGGCTGCTGAGCCACCTGCAACAGCTCGCATACATCCATAAGCTTCAGGTTTTGGTCAAGTGTCTGGATTACTTGTCTGATACCGATGATGACCCATACGCGGCGGATGAGAAACAACTCTATCAGGGCATGCTAGCAGCGCGATCCAAGGCAGAAATGATCCGTCTGTGGGACGACAGACCGCCGACGGCGAGTTCTCCGAGCCCCGAAGAGATCACAACTGCCGAGCATCGGATCAGCGCCGTCATCGGCCAGGTTCGACGTAGTCGGGATGTAGGCGACGTAGATGTCAAACACCAAATAGAACCAGAGATCGTTGCGGCACTCTCTCGTTTTGCCAAGAGCTGGAGCCTGGACGACTTCATGAATACGCACGAAAAGATCATGGGCGAGCCGCCGACGTTGAATGCGGCTGGCATATCGAAGCTGCAGGCCCAGTTCATACTGCAAGCCCAAGTCGCCCGTGCGAGCCTGACAAGTGACAACGGAGCGACGCCGACCATCTCCGTCAGCTTCTTGCCGGACGACGTCCCTAACGTAACGCTCATCAACATCAAAAAGCAGTGGAAGGCACTATACGTCCCGCTGGCGAAACGCGTCAAAGAGTCGGAAAAGTCCCTGCGTCAAGATCTCTACACGATGCAGCTCGTCTCTCTCGGGTCTGCGCATAGCAAGGGCGGACAGCAGTGGAAAGAACTGGATGAGCTGGGGCAGGCCGGCATGGACATCATCGACCATCTCCACCTGGACGCGGGCCAGATACTGCTGCGGGGCCCGGGCCCGCTCCTCGGCCAGAAAATGCTGCTGGGCTCTGTGGGCCCCGTCGCCGACCGAGCGAAGGCAAGACGAGAGTCGGAGGCGGGTCTGTACGGCACGGGAGGTTCTCAAGCGACATACGAGGACATGGACGCGTGCGTTTGCCAGACGCAAGGCATGGTTCCGGGAGTCGAGTACGTGCAACTGAGTCAAGATGCGTAGCAGAGGGTGATTCTCGGCGCCTATCAATGTCATATCATCTCTGTGGGTCTAGTTAATAATGCTTCTTCGGATGGAAGTGACACTGCGACATGCGCTGTATTTTCATGACAAGGTCTGGTGAAGAGTGGGGCACGCGGGGTTCGCAGAGTCGAAAGCTACTACGAGGTTTTTCCTGGCGACCTCCTCAAGGAATCTGCATCACGGCAGCCTTTACACCCGACTATCCCTTCGACCACTGCAAAGCAGCAGATCTGACTTGCATCAAGCTGGCTGACGCTTTGTGGCGCTGGTCTATAACCTCACACCTTATGGAGACGGCGAAAGGCTGCTCCAATGTTCCCACTGTTGTTGCCTCCGTGAATCCAGATATGCTTTTGAACCTCCATATGTGGGGGTCGTCATCATCCCTGGTGGTATCCACGGAGGGCCCATGTCGTCTTTTGCTGCCGATTGACGCCAGAGAGGGCTCTGGGCCAGTCCATTATCTGCCTCCATCTCGACAAAGTGGAGAAAGATCGCCTTTGAGCGTGACATTTGGGATGCTGACGTGCAAATCGGAATACGGCAGCCATAGCTCCACAAGCGAAGACGGTCAGATCGGCCGGAGCGTCTATCTCGACGCGTGCGAGGCATATCGCATACCCTGTTGCTTCTTCAACATTTGTTGCTCGAGTTACTTGCTACACCAACTGGCTAGGCTACGAGTGCTCCAACAACATGTGCCAGCGTAGCAAATCAAGTGTGTTAGTAGAGAAAAGCCCGCATGCCATTTGGCAACATGTGCCCGTATAACTATGGCTCTCGCCGTGTCTCAAACCCCTTGTTAATGAAAACCAAGAATCGCATCAGACCATCGTCACACACGCCATAGAATCGCATAGTCGCCTCATACACACAAGTAATTCAAGCGTCAACGCTCTTTGCTGCCAAACCATGTCGCTCAATCTTTCCTGGCCAGCCGCGACCATGCGGGCAGTTGTTTACCATGGCACGCCTTTCGAAATGATGGTACAAGATGTCGCCAAGCCAGCCATCCTGAACGAGACGGATGTCGTTGTGCGGGTGACCACCCGGCCGTATGCGGATCCGACTTGCACATCTATCGCGGCTACATGGGCGGTGCGGTGCCATGGACAATGGGCACGAGGCCGTCGGCTACATCTCGGAGATTGGCGACGCCGTGTCCTCCTTCGCCGTTGGGGACTATGTCATCATTCCCGACACCGTGTCTGAGGATCATATGGAGATGGAGCCGAGGTCGAAGGAATACTTCGGCTTCGGGAATAGTGAGATGGGTCTAGGCGGTCTGCAAGGTACGAATATGCCTGCTCCATATGCATCCTGGGCATGCCAAAGAGAGGATTGCTGACAAGAAGATGCGCAGCTGAATACGCGAGGGTCCCTTTCGCTGAAGCCAACCTGATCCCCATCCCATTGACTCACGAAACCGCCAATTCGACGATGAGCGCGACTACCTGACCGTTTCGGACATCTTCGCTACGGGATGGGCCGGCATCGACTACACCGGATTCGAACTCGGCGATTCCGTCGCCGTCTTCGGGGCGGGTCCCGTTGGGCTGCTTTCTGCCTACTCGGCCATTTTACGTGGAGCGTCCAAGGTCTACGTCGTCGACCATGTGAAGGAGCGCCTGGATCTCGCCGCTTCCATCGGCGGCATCCCGATCAACTTTGCTGACGACGACCCCGTCGCCCAGATTCTGGCTAGCGAGCCGAACGGGGTCATGCGCGCCGTAGACTGTGTTGGCATGGAGGCGTTGAACTCGAGCCTTGAGATGGACGAGAGCATTATCACACAACAGATGGTTGACGTGACGCATTTCAAAGGAGGCATAGGCCAACTGGGCGTGTATAGTTCACAGGACGATTCGCCTGGCGCACCGTACGGCAGCGACATCTCGCCCACGATTCCTTCCCCGTCTCGTCCTTCTTCGCCAAGGGCTTGAGTTTCCGAACAGGGGCCGTTGATCCGAAGCAGTACGCTCCACAGTTGATCGACCTCATCAATAGCGGCAAAGCCCACCCAAGCTTCGTGATCAGCGCAGTTATTGGCATCGAGGACGCGCCAGAGTACTACGAACGCTTTAATGGGAAGAAGGAGACCAAGGTAGCCATCCGCTTTCCGGAGTAGGACGGCTTACTTTACGAGGCTTTCGTTGTGTATGTAGAGGAAAGTAAGGCAGTCTAAGTAATACATACGAATTCCTCTCGGTATATCGGCCCGGAGTCCTGGAATCATGTCTCAATACCCAAAAGCATACGTGTTGCAACGGCCTGCAGGGCATTCTCCTGGCGATCCGGAGGTTCGCTCAGATCCCGCTTAGACATTTATATGTATATCTTCAAGCCTTTTTGTTTGGACCTGGCCGACTTCGCGAGCTGGCAAGGTAGTTCGACGGTGCCATATCAAGATGCTTTGCACCTAACCTCGCCGGCGAGATGAGACAGCAGGCAAGCGCGTTTGCATCCGTACAGATGTATCTGACAGTCAAATTGGGCAGTTGCGACATTGTGCGCAGAATGTATTGAAAATTGCTATTGGAGCCAAAGAGCAAGCAGGTTTTATTTGCTCAAGGGGAAGGAAGTAGAGAATGAATGTGGCAGGATGGAGTCGCGTGACGGAGTGAGGGAGCGATGGCAGATACTCGGAGAGTGAAATTTACCGCTAAGCCTAACACCAACAGTCTGCCTCACGGCTTGACCAGCTGAATGCGCCTCAGAGGCTGTGAGAGTTGGCTGACAAGCCTATCTGCACAAGCTTGCAAAGGTGGACTGGCAGAGTATCATGAGCCACCGGATGACAAGGCGCTGTGTGCTGGCGTTTGTGAGGGTGTGCAGGGTCTCTACGCTGAACTTCCTCTGCCTTGACCAGGGGCCCGAATCCACTGCCAAACGGACTAGGGTCCTGCCTTGTATTGCTCAAGTTCGGAGAGTGCTCTGCGAGCTAGGCTTCGCAGCGGCCGCATGTACAGACCATGTCCAGAGACTGTATAAATACATGTCGGCAGCCTGCAGTCTTTTGCACACTCTTGTCTGTATTCCATCACCAAGTCTCTGCTCTATTCAAGCACCTTTTGCTTGCGAGATCAAAGTATATAATGTCTCATCTTCGTTCTTTTCTCTCTGGCAATGGCAATGTATCTCATCAGGGTGGTAGTACCAGGACCGCCTCGACGGCCACGCTCACAGACGGTACTAACATCTATGGAATCTACACCCCCAGCCTCACCCACGACAGTAAATTGTCTGAGCTTGTTGTGAGACCGTCGGCACCGGAGCCCACGGTATTATTGCGCGAAATACAACAGGCTGCCGATGACATATCACAGCTCGTTGGGCGATTTGGATTCAAGATGGCAAGAACGCTTACGACTCCTCCTATCAAAAAGGCGCTTTTCGCGGACAAGAAATTGCTTCGACCACCATGCCTAATGTACGCAGACGAATTCTCCTGTGTGATCACGAGGTTCTGTTCCAAAACAATCCACGACTCGACTTCGGCACCGCTTCTGTGGTGGCTCTGGAACGAGCTACTCGACTACCTGCCGCCGATAGGCGAAACGCGGAAGTGCAGACTCGACTTCAACCCCGCCTTGAGGGCTGACATAGCCCTGCCCTATGCGATCACCATCGACATTTCAAGCAAAAACAACAAAGACAACATCGAGCTTACTGCGTCGTATGGCGGGCTATTCGATGAGCGCCGTATCTTCGATGCATCTATCACCCGGTTTGACTTCCCCAAGGCGGAAAAGTACGGCAAGCTGACCATGGCTACCCTGGACATCGACCAAAATCCGTACGAAGGAAACGGCTGCATCGCCCACATTTTGGGATACCTCGTGCCTCGTCTGGAGAGCAACTGGCGGCCTGCCATGGAGGCTTTTCCTTCAGAGAAAGAGGAGGACCTTATCATCGCTCTAGCTAAGACTTACAAAGCGGGAGACGACCGCTTCCCCATATCGGAGAACCAACAACAGCAGTTCCGGAACCTGCTACGGCGCTTTCCGATCGATGCCAGGGAATACGTAGTCGAGAACGGGCTCGTAGGGATGGAGAAGGGACCGTACAGCCAGTCTGCATTTCAACCCCCAGGTCCGAAGGACTAGGATGTAGACGAGTGTTTATCTACTAGTGTTTGATCAGCGCCATCGATCTCATCTTGCATTCGGGCTTTTCCCCCTTCCCACATAACCTAAGTAGATAGGAAACCCCGAATACGTACGTCTCCAAGCATGGTTTTCTCGCTGATATCTTTCAGCTCGCACCACAACTGAAGTCTATGCCATCAACACGTCCGTCACGGAGCGTCATGATGCACAGAAGCACTGCAGACGCTACCAGTAAGCAAAAAAGTAATTTGTGATTTTCATTTTCATTTTCGATGCTGTATTACTGGCAATAACGCTGCAAAGTGTTTGCCATAGACTCAAGCGTACCTTCTAAACAGAGACAGCGTCAGCAAGAATAGAAATTCCTTTCACCATGTAGTCCTCACTTTCTACTACATCACGTGGCAGACATAATGGCTGCTTATTATCTTAACCATGGCCAGGTAATCCAAAAAGCGCTATTGGGCAAGACTACGGATAGACTCACCTCTTGATGGCAGCAAGCCAATTTAAGCTCTTGTCATGCACGAACCCCTGCGGCAAGAGACCCATTCGACTTGGGGGTGAACCCTGGAAAGAAAGATATGAGTACTGCTGCTTTCCAGAATGCAGTCATCCAGCGACCTACGACTAGTGGAAAGCTAACAAATAGTGGTTTATATAGGCGAATGATTGGTTGGCATCTATTGTCATTCTTGTTAATCGAGGGCTCGCCTTACATCAACGTCAACAAATGCTTACATGTCACGGCTCTGCAAGCAGAAACGACGCTATACTCATACCATCAAGACTAACCATATAAACCCTCCTGCCCTCGCGCTCATTTCTGCCGCGATGTGCAACCTTGGAATCCGGTGGGAATAAAGATGCAAGTGATAGAGCTGTTATGAATGGATTGTTTCTACATCAAAGCCTGGACTTCGGAGCCTGCTCTGCTACCATGTCGTCCGTACGAGCCCCAAAAGCCGGCAAGGCCTTGATGAAGTCCTCCATGGCTCCCTCTTCAACCAAAGGCGCCGTGATGTACTCTTTAGCATTGGCCCTTTCCACCAGCGTGGGCAAGAGGGGCAATAAGTTGGAGTACGCCCTGTTCTCGATATCCCGCAACGCAGATCGAGTGCCGTAGCCGTGTTCGACAAACCAGGATAGATCCCTCTGAATGCAAGACTTTTCAAACACATCAAGCACCTCGGGCGCGATATCACCTTGCGCCTGGGCTGCCTCGTAGGCCATGCGCTGTCCGATGGCCTCCACCATAACTCTGCATCGAGGGAGAACGCTGTTGTTATAGGTCGTGCCCCTCAGGCTGCCGGATACGCCGAGTGCGAGGTTTTTGTCGCTCACAACCTCTTCGAGCATCCCGGCTTCATACATGGCAAGAGATCCTGTCGGATCGGTTGGTTGTGGAAGGCCATATCTGTTCATGAGGAGTTCAGAAGCGAGACCTATGAGGTGTCAGGACCCATATCTAAGCTCGTGTGCGAAGAAGACCTACGAATGCTTATAACGAGCGTGTCGCCCTCGGCCACGGAGTTCCTGAAAGGTCGATGCGAGTTCGGTTATCTGGTTGTGCGCGTACAGGCCCTGCCAGCCACATCTCCGTCAGCTCGTGAA